ATCCTAACATTTAATGCTCACACTCATCAGTTTAACTAAAAGGAATGTTAGACTTTGCTCTATCCATAGCTTTCTACCTAACAACAATCACTTGATTTACCCTTTCAGATCAACTACAATTCTATGTTTCTACTTTAAACCAATATTTTCCAAGTCAAGAAACCTTTTAAGATTATGTAAATGAAATTTATTCTAACTCATAGAAGACAAAAGCATAGTAAGAGGATGACAAGTATTGAATTATTTTCCTTGTATTTATATTTTATTTATGGTGGGGTACTCTAAGCACAAGGTGGGCAGAGAAAAGAACAAAAAACCCAACCAATCTCCTCACTAACCCTAGTCCTTTCTTGCTTCCATTCTTGCACCACAATGACACTTAACACAAACTAGTAAATTAAGGTGAGGACCAAAACCAATAGCTCACTATCTACCTTTCTCTAACCTAAATTCCAACTCATCACCTTATTGATTGCTTCTAGAACCTCTCTTTTCAAATCACTTTCTTCGTACCAAATTTATTGGTCAAGTTTATAGCGAATCATTCTCTCACTAATTATTGATTTGCATTTCAGTTTTGTATTATTTTTGTATCTTATGCATTGGATTTGTGTACGAAGGAATAAGATCGAATAACAGAAGAAAAAAATGCAACGCTCTACCTTTCGCCTAACCTCTTTTTTGGCGTTAGATCTATATTGTCGCACCAATTTAAAGTAAAGGAAATGATATTATATTCCAGTCAAATCAACATATTTTAAATACTAATTCTTGAGGGTTATAGGTATATCGATCATAATTAAAAAAGGTATAATATTCACCTTTTATTGTTTATATATTGAGTTTATCTTAAAAAAATATGCTACATAGAATTATATGATCAAATATATAATTAATTATATAGGCATAAGAAAAATCAAAAAATGATTCCTCCTTTCAATAAAATTCCTACCCTATTAAGCATTTTCATCCTTTCTATTCAAAATTTTCTTTTTGAGGAATATGAGTGTTATAATGTAAATAAATTAATGTGCACATGTATAAACAAGCCTTGAAACGTTTGAAATTATGTCTAAACTTTCAACCAACTAGACTAGAGGCAGGTGAGTGGTGACTCATTTTTTGATTAATATTATATGTTTTACAATGTCATTATAAAATAATACTGAATAATACAAACCAAAAATAACTAAGTAAAAAAAAAAAACTTAGTCTTATTATAATTTCTTTTTTTCTCCACTTGTGTAACCTATTATTATATATGATCTTGACTCGAACTTTAACTTGTTTAAGAATTGCTTGAATTTTAAATTTTTAATCATGTCGATATATAAAAGAATCATCCAATTTAAAATTAATTTCACTAGTTTTATTTTGCAATATTTATGCAAAATTAAAAAGAATAATACTAAATAAATTTAGAAATTCAACACACACAAAAAATCACAACCTACACTCTTTTCTAAAAATTTCTCTTCGATGTACCCAACCAACCTTCCTACACCTTTTCCAACCTTTCATTCTCCTAACACCACTCTCATGGGCTTAATTACAATAGGAATTTAGGAATAAGTAGCTAAAGCTAGCAAAGTAGTTGGTAGTACTCTATAATGAAGGCAAAATTTATGTGCTCTCAATTATAGCTACATAGAAGAAGGTGGAAGGAGATATTTTTTTTCATGACTTATACCTAACAACTAGTTATGTACTAGACAACTACCAATTGCAACAAGGTAGCCACTAACTTCCTTTCTTAAAATTAGTGAAAAATAATTGGAGGGGGCTCACAAAACCAAAAGAGAAAGGTAGGTTTGAACTTAAAAAAAAAAAAAAAATTATGTTCAATATGTTGGAAAATAAAGTGATCAATCAAATTGCCTTAATTAAAAATAAATAAATAAAAATTAAAAAAATCATTTTTATGTTATACCTCTCTTATCTATTTAATCTTGTTAATTTATATGTATCATGATGATTAGTGATAAGTTTCAATAGTTTTATAAACTAAGATGTGGAGCTATCTATTTGATTTCTTACAAATATATGTGATCTTATTTTTTGTGTAATTTACAAAATTAAATTACAACAGAGCATTATTATTATTATTATTTCTAAAATTCCTGCAAATAAGCATAGCCACACAGCAAAATGTTTTATCTAGACTTATTGATTTTTTGAATATATAATATGATTAATATATTATTTTAATAATATAATTAAAAATCTCATTATCTATATTTTTCTTAGAAAATGTTGAACAAAAATTAAATTTTAATCCAAATTTACTATTATTAAAAATAGATGGGCCTAAAAAACTATTTTCCAGTAATTCATTAAAAATTATAATGAAAAAAATTAGCACTATTAATACACACATTGAAAAAAATGATTATTATATTAAAAAATATGGCTGAAGTACTATTTTTTTGTAAATTTATATATATGTTATGGAATTTTTATGATGGATGTTTGTAAATTTAAGTTGGATTTATAATATAATTTTAAGATTAAATATTTATTAACTTTTTTGCATAATTTTTATTTATAATTGATCTCATTTAATTTTTATTTATAATTGATCTCATTTAATTTTTATTTATAATTATCATCTTGCTTAATTATTTATAACTAGCCTTGTACTGCACTCTAATTTAAATATTTTAATATATAGTATTTTTTTATATAGGTTGGATCTTATGATGGTTGCCCCTTTGTCATCAAAAGAGGTGATATTATAAGACATCAAATTTTGTCATTAGTTGAAGGCTAACAAAGGGCGTTGGTGATGGGAAATGATGAATGATAATTAATGTCAATGTTGCTCGATCTGTAATCTTCGATGACTCATGTTGATGGCATGCATTGGCAGCGGTTGGCTGAGAGCTTTGACAGATGATCGATCATAGGTGCTAGCGTACAATGAGCATCATGTGTCAATTGAGTGCACGGAAATATAACTTTAAAACTTACGTAAGTTATAAAATTCTTTCTCGGATGTGTATATTCAGAGACTTTTATGGATTACAAAATTAAGCATTTTGATCATTGCTATCATAATCCTGGACATTGTTGAATTGTTCAAATAGTACCTCTTGATCAAAATTTCTATTTAAAAAATAGTATGAATGGAATTACAAACACATAAAAAGATAACTAGGATTTTATTTGGGATAATTTTTTTACTGTTTTGTAAAACTGTTGTATAAAAAGTAATATTTTTAAACCTGTTGTCAAAAATAGCTTTCTTGTATAAATTTTTTTCTTAAAGCAGAAAAATAATTGTCAAATAAAAATTGTGGTTGCAACCTAAAAAGCAATCAATAAGAAAGTTGTCCCAAATGAAGCCTAAGTTGAGTCACTTTAAATAAGCGTTGCAATGTGTAGTAAGGCGAGAATGTTTTCTTCAACATGTTTTTTTTAATTAATTTTAATATTAGATTTTGCTTTTTAAGATATAAATTTTACTAATAATCCAAGTAATTAATCTATTGGAAACTAATAGTATTTGGAGCTCTAACCAACTGATGACTTGTGGGCAAAGTTTATCTTTCCATGAACTGCTAAATAAATAATTAATATGAGGTGTGGCAACTAAATACATACCTTATGAAACTAAGCAAAGCTTAATTAAGAGTTGTTTGGTTGTAAGTATTAATAATATAAAGTTAATTAAATTTTGATATTTTAAAATTTTAAGTATTTGATAGAAAAAACCAAATGCAGAGTAATATTTTGAGGAATTTGAAAATTCCTATTTAGCTCATTATTAATGTAATGTAGTAGGAATCCATCTTACTTAGCTAAATTTTTTAAAATATAGTGTGTGAAGCTCTATCTCTCACCGGCTGCTCAAGCCTACCACTCATTAATGCTACTGACCCTACCAGTCTGTGAACTCTCATTTAGACCTCATTAAAAAAAAAAATACATTATTCTGAGTTGTTTTCAAAAAATATCTAATCCAAAATAAAAATTCAATCTCACAGCTTCAAATTGAATTAACATTTGCCTATTCGGTGGTTTTTTTCATTCTTATTTAGCTCGTCAGCTCACCGAGCCCAGCTAACGAGCTATTTATGAAACTAAACTCGAGCCGGCTCGACTCACTTACACCCAGCTTGATCGAAAGAGATCATTTTAACTAATCTAATAAATCAAATCAATCAAATGATTACACTAATTGAAACCACAGACACCCTACTAATTTTTCATCCATCATACACACAAGTTGGTACACCAAACACAAAATATAATTAGATCCTACTATTCTAAAACATTGTAACTCCACCTCATTAAAAAAAAAAAAATACATTATTCAGAGTTGTTTTCAAAAAATATCTAATCCAAAATAAAAATTCAATCTCACACCTTCAAATTGAATTAACATTTGCCTATTCGGTGGTTTTTTTCATTCATACTTAGCTCGTCAGCTCACCGAGCCCAGCTAACGAGCTATTTATGAAACTAAACTCGAGCCGGCTCGACTCACTTACACCCAGCTTGATCGAAAGAGATCATTTTAACTAATCTAATAAATCAAATCAATCAAATGATTACACTAATTGAAACCACAGACACCCTACTAATTTTTCATCCATCATACACACAAGTTGGTACACCAAACACAAAATATAATTAGATCCTACTATTCTAAAACATTGTAACTCCTGACTTGAGCTTCATCTTCCTCCTTTAATTAATTAGTTACCCCATCCTCATACCTACCATAGGCCAATATATCTTCAAATATGTGCTATATATATATATATTTCATGAATATATCTGTTCATTTTATTTTTTAAAAAACTGGTAACATGGGCTGATGTCATTTGCACCAACAGCCTACAATGCAACCACCCTCTCTCAACCTTTTTCTCACCAACTCGCTTCTAGAAGTCCCAAATTTAACACCCTCTCCTTTCTCTCAGGGGTCAAAGCCTTATATATCTTCCAAAGTCTCCAATTGTTGCTCAAGAGCTGAAAGGAATTGAAGAAGGTAATTGAGATCCATGGGTAGATCGCCATGTTGCGAGAAAGCTCACACCAATAAGGGAGCTTGGACTAAGGAGGAAGACGAGCGGCTCACCGCCCACATCAAGGCGCACGGCGAGGGATGTTGGCGGTCGCTCCCGAAGGCCGCCGGCCTTCTTCGTTGCGGAAAAAGCTGCCGCCTTCGATGGATCAATTACCTTCGCCCTGATCTCAAACGAGGAAACTTCACTGAAGAAGAGGACGAGCTCATCATAAAGCTCCATAGTCTTCTTGGCAACAAGTCTGTCTCTTTTGGTCTCTTAACTGATCCATATTCATTTTAATACAATCCTAGCTCAAATAAGTACTTTTGTTGATGTAGATGGTCTTTGATAGCGGCGAGGCTGCCGGGAAGGACTGACAATGAGATAAAGAACTATTGGAACACGCACATCCGGCGGAAGTTGATGAGCAGTGGCATAGACCCTGCAACCCACCGTCCACTCCACGAGCAACAAGGGAAGACGACGATATCATTCATTAAAGGAGAGGAGAAAATTGTGGAGTTTGAGGGGAGAGAGGAAGGAAAGAAAAGCAGTAATAGTAGCAGTGAAGAGATGTCTATATGGCTTCGACGGTGGCCGGAGGAGGAGAAGAAGCAGTGGAGATGTCCGGATTTAAATTTGGAGTTATGTATGAGTCCTCCTTCTCAAAAGCAACAAGTTTTGTGTCAGGAGCCCGTGAAGAGTGAAGAATTAAGCCTTTGTTTTAATTGTAGATTGGGCGTGAGTAAGAGCTCTGAGTGCAAGTGCGGTGGCGGCTTTCTTGGACTCAACAGTGGAGTGCTTGATTACAGAAGCCTGGAGAGCAACTGAGAGGATTTTCACATAAATTTTTTTCCTTTTCGTTTTTTTAATGGTGAGAGGAAAGAGAATATTGTAATTTAGTAATGAGTATCTTCTTCTCATCTTTGCATTTAGTCTTATCCCTGCAATCTTTCCTCTCTCTCTCTCTCTCTCTCTCACATTTCTAATTTGTATAATTATTAACATATGTATTTAGATTTATCTTTCTATCTAAATAACTCAATTTATATATTTTTATTAATTAAATTATTTTTATTAAATTAATTAAGCCTTTTCTTATAATTAATTGCATTCATGACTAATTATTGTTTAAATCATGAATCACCAGTTGAAGTTTTTTTTTTTTTTTAAAATCCACAGAGGGGTCTATGCATTAATATTAAAAAATGATTACAAAGTTCTTAAGGGAGACCATCAACTCGCTACTGTTCAAACGAGCTACAAAAGAAAACCTAAGAGCTGATTATCTCCACTAATCCAGATTACAAAAAAAAAACTAATAACAAACTAAAGATGCTAAAACCAAACATCCAAAAAAGAAAGATGCTAGAGCCGGTTGAAGATCTTTAGCTCTCATCATTATCCGAGATTAACGGCTCATATTAATATCAATATTGTCACCAAATTAGCTCAATATTTTAAAAAAAAAGACCAAATAAACTGAATGTATGTGAACAAATGGATAAGAATAATGGAGAGGAGAAATAATAATAATAATAATAATGAGAGGGTAGGTAGCTAGGTATCACATGTTTCAATATTGGGAGCTCTCAAATAAATTTTCTATGGAGGATTCTATCATCATATCCATAGGACCATCATGAAAGCACCATGGCATCATTTGCTCTTTGGCACATGATCAATCATATAAGGTAGAGGGTGGTTGAAACTAAATTATAATTTGATGAAATGCATACATTATTAATCCATCATGAATTTCCTAATTATCTATGCATGCATTATGTGGAAGGTACTCAATTATTGGCTCCAAGCTAGTTATAAAGAATCACTCTAATCCTTCAAAGGTTCTTAGCTAGGCCCCATCACCTATATAGGATGTTTGATGATAATTGAGTGATTCGTGTCATGATGGGTCCCGTGCATACGAACTCAAGTGCAGGTGCACACAATAATCTTATCTTTCTATGAAAAATATTTCAAATATTTAATTAATTGATTGATTATCAATTAATTATTAATCTGATCATGTGGTGGTGTGTTTGTTAGATAGGATATTATTAGTCTAATAATGCCTGTGGTTAATTAATTGTTTAGTTTTATTTATTATGCTAATTAGAGAAGGCTAACTAATCCAATAAAATAAAGAATTTCTTGAATTTGAGACATTATTAGGAAAAAAAAATTAAAACAAAACATTTCTAAGTAGACATTAGAAAATGCTATACTGTATAAAATAAAATAAATTCATATTTAAATGGATGCCAACAAGTGGCAGCTAATATAATTTATTTCTTTGAATAATTAATCAAATTAAAGCCTGATCTAATCAGCTATCTTTTACTTTTTCTTTCTCAGTTACTGCTGCTTGTATTTCATTAATTTAAAAATAAGATATTTCACACATAAATATTATTTTTTCAATAGAAAATACATAATTTTGCTAAAAAGAAAAAAGATTGACAAAAAAAAATTCAAGTGGAGTGTGCTGTCTTAGGGACAACTTTATGGCTGCTTTGATTTTCAAATTGCAACCATTTTTTGTTTGGCAATTGCTTTCTCGTTACGTAATAAAAAGCTATTTTTTGCAACAATTTTTACTAAAGAGTAGGAGCGATAAGAAATCAGCTGTCTGATTTTTCAAAATAGAAATTAGTTATAATACTCATTGTAGCTTTTTAAAAAATTATATTCCCAACAATAACTTCACAATCTTTTTTATAAAAAATTATAGTCACCCTAAACTGGATTATAGTTGCTCGGTACTGCTCGGTACCGTTTGATACCGTGGATCGATATCGCTGATGTGGCGCATTCTAGTTGATATATGGACGGCGTTCTGTTTTCAATCTCTGCACAGGATAATTTCCCCCCAAACCGCTTTTTAATCTCAAATTTTATTTTTTTGGTGGAACTATTTAGGTTTGAAATTAAGAATCTACACTACTGCACATGCTAATTAAGAATTCCTGCTGCATGTGATGCAGATGCTGATCATCAGCAAGTGGAATAGGAAACTTTAGGCTGTGTTTGGTTTGAAGAAATTGATAAAAAGGAAATAAAAAAAAATACATATAAATAAATTGAAATTAATTTTCATTTATTATTATGATGATAAGCTATTAAGTAAGGAAATATTTTCTTTAAATTTTTTTTTAATTAACAAAAAATGAGCTTTTACTTTTGTGAGAAGATGATTTATATCAGTCACATTAATCATAATCATCCAATAAAAATTTCCTTAATTTCACTAATGATAAAATAGAGACTATTAATAAATTTTAAATAAACATAATTATGTAAAAATAATCGGACTTAGGTGGATTGGTGGGCGTGCTTGGTTGGGAACCCCCATCCCAAGTTCGAATCCTCTCTCATACGGCACGACTTCTTAAGTGGAGAGAAAAGAACTATGAATCCTGCACCTGTGGGGCTGGTTGCTGATAGACTCACCGAGGGACTAGTGGATACCGCCATACTCGTCACAAGCTGACGTGGCAACGGGCTGATACCCCGTTCCAAAAAAAAAAAAAAAATCAAACCAAACATACCCTTAAGAGACTCAATAAATAGAGAAGGAAAAAACTTTAGGTACAATGGAAAATTCTTCAAAGTTGTTTTGATGAAAATGTAAATCAGTATCAAGTACTATGAGCACTTTAGAGGGAAATTAAATAAGTGGTAGGCCCCACAGAAAAGATATAATTGGTGAGCAAATCACTTTCCCTATTCCCAAACAAATTAAAAATAAAAAAAAATAGAAATCGCTTTTCCAAACTCACCTACCCTCCCACCTCTCTTTTCTGTAGGTTTGGTAGGCAGAAGAAGCTTCTATGGTCAATCCTTCCTTAAATATAAGAACATAATTACTTAATTAGAGTAGGAAAAGAATGGTTTAGTTATGACTCATACTAATTAAAAAAAGTCCTCTCTTCATATTAAATATGATTAGTAGCTTTAATTAAAAAGTTTAAAACAAATCTATTCACATCAAGCTATCATTAAGAAAGAGGAAGTTTGAAGCCAAGACCACATGCATGACAATGTTGTGGGTCCCATTGCCTTCATTTTCAAGTAGGCAGCATAAGAAATCTCCCTTGATTTGTACATATTAGCAACTTTGCCATTCCTCTAATGGGAATCTTTTTTTTTTTTTTTTCTTTTTATAAAGATAATTATAAAACTAATATGGATAAATTATTTTTTGTTAAAAGTTATTGTAGAAAGTAGCTTCATAGCAAAAAAATTATTGAATGTAGCAAAAAAATACTGGCCAAATAAAAATTTATGATTGTAATCTCGAAAACAAAGTAGTAAAAAAGATGTCCCATACAAAGCCTTAAGTTCATTCAATATTGACTAAAAATATACTTTTTATTTTTGAAGGTTAGGGGCTTCGAACGTGAGCCTCGCGGGAGGAATTCCTTCACGTCTACCAACGGGGCCGCAAGCGTTAGCTCAAATAGACTTTTTTAAAAATTACATATTATGGATTGATTTGACTTGTTTATTTTGAATTTTTCTCTATTTTATATTAACCTTGGACCAAAATTTATTAATTGAATTGGGGGTGAAATCATTGTCTCTTTTGAGCAAGGGTGGAACAAGGAAGAGCTCGGGGTTGGCCCTGAAATGTTTTTTTTTCCTCAGAAAAATAAAGAAAAATAAATATTTTACCAATTTTTCTTGCTTTCAAAAAAAAAAAAAACAATTGCCTAAATTCTTAAAAAAAAAATTATTTATTTTATTTCATATATAAGATTATGCATTTTACAATCCTATTTTGTCTGTCCTAAAAAAAAGAGGCAGGTTCTTCCACTGAGGATGATCAAAATAAGATTATTTTAGTGCATAATTTTTTAGTATTAAGCATATGCATTTATTAAGGATAGTAAAATAGTTAAAACACTTATACTACTTAAATATAACCCTAATTCGAGCCACCATCACACTAATTTACACTAAAGTCCCTTTCTAAATTATATATTTATCCCCAGAACATCGCAGTATGGGGTTGTAATTTTACCATGATCTTCATTTTCTTAAAGTCCTAAAAAAACTTTATGAAAATTTACAAAATTTGAATAATTATAAAATTATAAATTATTTACAAATTTTACTATGATTTCTCAAATGTTTTAAGGAAGAGGGCCGTTTAATCAAGAGAATGTTTTGGTTGGACTGTATATTAAGAGAGTATTGTGAACACAATCTACTGAAAAGGATTGGGTCATAGATCAAAGACAAGTGGTTTAAGAGTTGGTGAAAAAACTATTTTATATTATTTATTGAAGAAAAAGGAAAGAGAAAACTGTATGAGGTAATTGCTTCTTTGAAGGTTTCTGAGTTTCTTAAATATTTTATAATTTAAAGGAAAAAATGGACGTCTTGATTTTACTAATACAAAGCCATGTTGTATTTTTTATTTATTTTTGATTAGTTAATCAAATTAAAGCCATGTTGTATTTAAAAATAGGTAGTTAAATCAATTAGGGTTCAGATAAACTATGACGTTTCTTCATCAACTATTGAGAAATTATTCTGTGCGGACACCGAACGTCGTCCAGAGACCAATTAGAATGTCCTACGTCACCTCTTGTTCGGTATTGCTGATGTGGCGCATTTTGATTGGTCTATGAACGGTAAACTGCATTTTAGCGTCCGCACAGAATAATTTCTCCTTCACCAACAGATATACCATCTTCTGGAATTAAAGAAAATAAAAATAGTATAAATTTTATAATATTGCAAAATTTAAATTTTTTTCTTATTTCATTAATTTTCAAGGCTTTAATTGATAAATAATTTAAAATAAAATTTAAAATTTTGAGATAAATTTCCCTCCTATCAAATTTATATCTCAACATTTAAATATTAAAAAAAATAATTCTTCAATTTTGGGGAGCCTACTCCATTTTTAGTATAGCATTT